TGTATAAGATGCTATAAAGAGGCAATAATTAAAGTCGATCTGGAAGTTGATAAGAATCAAATATTCTATAAGTCCTTCTTCGTGATTTATCACGACAGGATTTCAACGTGACACGATCGAGAATGAATTCTGTCGGATGCCGTGCTGTTAACGAATAATTAAGAAGTCAATCAAGCTAAAGGCACCAACGAAGCACTTCGATATTTTTCAAAATTTCGGAATGGAAAACGAAAGAACGTGCTTGCATGCACGTGGAAATATATTAGCTCAGAGACTCTAGAAGGTTTTGTGGAAAGAATAAAAGGGGCGAAAGTTCCCCGAAATTAAATAAGAAAGCCTTTTTTCCGGGCAACAATAACTTAATAATAAGTTAAAAAATTCTAGTTAACCTCAAATGAATGCACAAAGACTGTCTGGTTTTCAGCGAGATAGTTCAGAAGACTGGCTGGTTGGTTGATTATCGATAAACTCGGGAAGAAGGGGCTCGTTTCACGGCAATTAACGCGTCAAGGGGTGGGTTTTCTTGGGCTGGCTTCCGGAAAAACCGCGGGCAGATCGTCGGCGACGCTCTGGCTTCCTCCTCTCCCCCTGGACGAAACAACCCCGGTGGACGGTAATTACGCCCGGGCAGGAATGATGAATCGTTGGAAATATTTTGTGGAACATCATCGGGGACGCGGGACGAGCGTCGTTAATTCATTCCTGGACACGGAGGCCAGCAGATAAATGCGTACCGGCCGACGGTGGCGTTCGAGCGTTATAAATGACGTCCGTATTCATAATTTTCGAAACGCCACCGCCCAGTGACAGGCCTACGGATTATCTATCGGCTGGACGAGGTTTGTATCGCGGCCTCCGCCCCTTTCTGATAACCACCCTGTCCCCGTCGCTGATGAGCTTTCCATCGTCTAATTTTTTCGCTGATGATCCGCACGACTGGCGGGGAAGCTGGGTGGTTCACCGCGGCTGAGAGTGGAATTTGAACAGTTCGATGAGGTACTTTTGCAGGACAGAGGTCTCGACAACTTTGTCAAAAACGATGCGTGAAATTTCATCGAACAATCGTGTCTAAACTTCGATTTTACAGTGTATCTTCCATTGCACGCGATGCAAAGCGATTAAGGGTGGAATTTGAAATTCGAACTTTCGAACTGCACTGCAATGGCGCAATCGATAGCGATAAGAATTCGTGACTCGAATCTTCCCTCGAGTTATTGACGAGGAATTGCACGTTGCTCGCGAGGCGATAGAGGAAACACAAAGATGGTCGAAGCGAGGTGAAAGCAAGGCAATTAGAATCTGCAGCAATACTCAGCGGGTCTAGACCGCGTGTTTTTGCCGCGTGGCAACGTGGGGCATTCCGCTCACGGCTATCGGGCAAATGTGTTTTTCCCCGCTGAATTTTTCATCGACACGCAACGCCATTCACGTTTCCATTGTTCGATAATGGCCAACAGACGAATTTGGCCGAGGAACGAGTTCGCTTTACCAGCGGTAATTTGTGCTCGATCAGCTAAGGATTCGATACCGTGCGAAAGAAGGCTGGCAAGCATAAAAAGCTGCTCGATGGAATTTCACGTGATACTGACGCAACGACGTTTTCATAGATGCCGTTCCACGAAGAAAGTGGAAGGTTTCGCGATAATATTCATATACACATCAGGCAGCTAGCACGCCTTTCGCTTCATCAGTTCGACGATCTAATTGTCACTTCACTCGGAAGATCGCAATGCCAGATGCCAATGAAAAAGTGTCTGGAAAGTGTATTTTTGTTTTCTACATTGACAATATCGCGATGAATTTAGACGGAGTTGCTGGATACTTGCTTTTAGTTTTATCTTCGCGTAGTTTCAGTTCGGTAGTTTTCAAGTTCACGTGACAATATCAAAAATTTCAATAAAATTCTTCTCACAAAAATTCGCACGATATCGTAAGACGAAGTTTCACATTTGTCGAACAAACAGGACTCTTTGTTACGACGATAGAATAAAGTTCCACCCCTTGGTCGGAATGTTTTGGTAACCATCTACTGAAACTTCTCGCGAAATTATCGATCAAATAAGTGCGTAAATGGTAATTGCTTCAAAATGAAATTCTTATTGCAAAAATTCGTACGACATTATGTTCCGTCAATTTCATATTTATCAAACAAGCAAAATTCTTTATTATAATATTAATGATAGAACAAAGTTCCACCCCTTGAGCAATGTTTTGGTTTATCCACTGACATTTAACACTAAATTTCTCGCGAAATTATCGAGTAGATGTGCAAAAGCTTAAAAACAAATAAAAGCTTCAAGGTGGGAAATTAAAATGCACAAAAGTTCTCTACAAACTGTTTGCCCTCGTCCTGCACCTACTGAAAAAAAGGAGAGAGAAGACTCAAAGGGAAAAACGGTAACAAACGAGCCAGTATAAAAAGAACGTCATCTGAAAAAAAGGAAAGAAACGTAACGTCCACTTTCTGTATACAGCATCCTAGAATCACCCTCGGATGTCCACGTTCGCCACGTCGAACCGTCATCACCCACGAACTGGTGTTTGCCAGTTCGAAAAACTGGTTCACCTCGAAGAGAAAGAGAAAGAAAGAGAGAGAGAGAGATATGCTGTCTAATCAGTGGCCATCCACCGAAGCAACAGCGAAGAAACGGTTAGAGAAAGACTGCGGGTTAATCAGCGTCGGGGGAAATTCGATACGGATTCAGGTTCGCTCGAGAGATGCGGGTAATTGGTCTCGCGCTGTAAAGCGAACGAAAAAGACTTTGCGAAGGGGGAGGAAGTGGTGGTAGCAGGGAAAGAAGAAGACGAACGAAACGTCTGAGAGAAATAAAATAGGAGACAGGGAGAGAGGAAAAAACAGAGAGAAAGAGAGAGAGAGAGAGAGAGAGGTTTGTCGTTATCATCGGCAAAAACCACGAAGTGGATGAGGTTGGCCAGGAAGCTGGGTGTGCCAGGGCGAACCTAACAAGGGCAGTTTTTCGATCGACTTGAATGCATTATGGATGGCCGGAGTTATGTATGACTCTATCATGCTCGCAGCTCCGCGAGTCGAGCTGGCTGCGAGAGTACTCCTCGTTGTCTCCATCCCCTGTCTGACAGTGTCGGGATACACGATGGAAACGACACTAGAACTTCTGTTCGTCGCGCACGCGGTTCACGCTCGTTCCTCGGCACTTTTCTACCAGGGCCTTTAATGGCCTTCGCAGAGTTCTTTCCTAGAAACGGCGCGAGTTTCTCATTGCGCGCCGCTGGTAATTTCGCTGGCTCAGTCGGTGCAGTTGGACATCATCCTTCGTTCACTCTGTCTTCACTCGTTCTTCGATGGAATTTCTTTATTTTGCAATTAGACACTTACTTGCAAGTGTGACGCTGTATTTTAAGTGACTTCAAGTCACCAAGTTCTGGCCACTTTGGCCATTTTAGGTCACTGAAGTTAGTTCATATTGGAAATTTGAAATTTAGCAGACGGGAGGCCAGAGTCAATATTTTTGGTGCTGACTTCGAAGGGATTCTTTCAGTTTGATTCTTAATTCGCAGATTTTAGCTGGAGGACTTACATCTCTATGCATTTGAAAGTAGAAAACTGCATGCGATATGAACAAAATATCATTATATTAATATCAAAATATAATATTCGATACCAAATTACCGAGCTTCTGTATTTCCAACTATATCTTCCAAAATATGAATTTACATTCTAATCACCAATTGCGATCTACATCAAGAAATAGAGTAAATTCTCAAATTTCAGAAGACGTTTCTTCTTCATTTATTTCTTTTTTTTTTTTCTAAGTGAACCTAATTCAGTAGCAAAGCAAGAGATTTTTAATTTTAGTAACTAGAGGATTACGGGGACTGTGAAGCAGCTGACGCTGTCAAAGCTGTCCGTCGTCAAGGAAAAATCGTCAATTACGTGCGAGAATCGACAGTGGATGCTAGAGGCTCAGAAGTCAAGACACTGTGACGTCGCGTTTCCGCGAGCAGAACGATTCATGAATCGAAACGAGCGACCGGCTAGTTTAATTGACCGATTATTTCGCGCCGTTGACGTGTTCCACGCCCTAGTTCGACAGGGAACAAAAGTAATTCCCGTCAGCCTGTGATTTACTCCCTTTAATCGCCTCCGTAGTCCTCCAATGTCCGAGTACGATTTTTTCATCGAGAAAATCGTTTCGTGGAAATCGTCAGACGCCACCGACCTCGACGCAGTTCACTCTGTTTTCTTTGGACACATCGGTTAAGCTATACGCAAAGTTTCCATCACTCCGTTTAAACTGCGATTCTCATCGGCACCAGGATGAGAACGAACGACGATCGTTCAGCCAGGAAAGGAAAATGGATTCTAGTCTAGATCAGTATTCAAGCCGCGACTCGCGTTGTATAACCAGAATGGGAATAATTGAATAAGAATTTTATTATTTGAATAACTTTAACCACGAATGTTCGCGATGTCCCTTCTGCAAAGTACTCGTATTTACGAGTAGATTTTTCCCCACATAAAACACACAACAAATAAAATAAGAAGGAAAGTTTTAGTCGAGCATCTTGAAAATATTCTTCGTACTGCCACTATCTACTATCAAATCAGATAATAATGAGCTGGTGTCTAAAAAACAAGCTCAGTATTCTCGTTAAAAATTTTCAATTAATACAAATATATTTCTCTAATCACTGTATTGTTTCACTATAGAAGTTGTTGCAATATCTTCATAAATAATACATAAGGTTGAACTGATAAAATATGTAAACTATGTGCAAATTTTTGAGGCCAGAAGATCTAAAAGGTCATCCAGATGTAGCTGGTGTTAAACGATCACGAATGGTTAATCGATTTCTTCGAGTGACGTTGGTGCGAATGAAATCGAGAAAATTGGGAAACATTGTCGTTAGACAAGATTTAGGTGTAATTAAGGAAATTGCAGCGCGTTGTCCATTCATTTTATAGATGACACGTATGAAAATCGATCGAAAAGATTTGTTACATAATAGATATTCAATCGTTAACAGTTAATAAATGATATCGAATTTAACAACTGACAAGACTGTTGCAATCGAGCAGTTTTACACAGTAATAAACCAACAGAAATTATGGAATACTCTAATGTATTCATCGTAATTGCGTGACTGTAGCATCCAGCGACAGTCTGCTGAAATCGACTGATCCTTTCAACAACTTCCATGCCAAAAATCGTGTCTTTAACACTAGAACTATCAAAGTGGTCAATTACGATCAACTTGTAATCTCTGTTAGAAATTCTGTAGACACGAAACGGTGCGTATTTAGAAATTTAAACGATTTTTCGTAAAATTTCGTATAAATAAAAGTTTGTCAGCAAGTCACTACAAAGCACTTCAATGTCTCTGATGGAAATTTCATGCTTCAATTATTGGTGATTCTAACGTTCAATCTCTGTAAAACCAACCGGTGGAAGAACACCAAACAGCTATGAATCGGCGGGGAGAGAAATCGATCTAAGACCGTGGTCTCCTCCCGCGGTGGAAAGAGGCTTTCCCAGTCTAACAACTTCCGAGTTCCACGGTTCAATTACGTGGCAGCCAGCGAGAGAGAAGCGAGAGAAACGGGAGAAGCGGGCCAGTGGCCGAACGCTTTAGCACGTAATTCCGATAATAACCGGGTACTCGCGTGACCGGCAACACTAATACCGAGCGTTATGGAGTACGCTGCGTGCTACGAGTGTGCCGCCGGCGTACTCCTTCCTAATCATCAACATTGTAACCGGCGACTGCCTCGCGCGACTCGAAATCCACCGCGACCCGATAGGCGAAAAAGAAACGAGAGTAACGATTTACGGAGGCGAGTTAGTTACGCCGTACCCCCGTAAATCCGCTTGATAAGTAGCGTGTACCCTGGCCCTCGGCTAATATTCCACCGGTGCGAGAACCTGGCGCGATGTGGCTTCGATGCCGAGGGAAATAATGGCGCACGCGCTCGCCGGCCGCGAATCGATGCCCCTTTCTACGGCTCGCTACTGAAATTTCAAGCGCGTTTCCCCACGAACCGGTTTCTCCATTTCCCTCCGTTTATACCATTTGAGAAACGCTTTGCTCTGTTGTTTCGGGAGATTTGCTCGCTCGATTCGTTACATGTTGCTTCGTAACGTAAGCTCGCCGAGGAACGAACGTGGTGGATCGTAATGGGACAGAGCAACGAGAGAGAGAGAAAGAGAGCAAGCCTCGGCGAAACGATATACACGCGCGCGAGTTCCGTGCAACGACGACCGACCAGGCGATACCAATCCGGATTACACGTCTCATTTTTACAACCGACGATCAATCGCGCTCTTAAAGGACTCGTTTATTGCGAATAATCTGTAGGAAGTGATCAAAGTCGCGCGCGCGCAATTACGAGCGACGATAGCGGTTTCGTGGTTTATTTCGTAATAAGCGGCTTCCTCCTCTCTGCCGGACTCGAGCCGCACGCTGTTCGATGTCCGATTGCTCGTTCTCGTTCGCTCTCGAAGTTTAGAGGAAACTCTGTTTCTTCCGGTTCGACCGTGAAATTCAAACGAAATTCGATTCTCTTCCGAACTATTACGGAGTGTGAGTGGTGATAAGGGAAGTGAGAGCGGAGAGTGAGGGGTGAAACAACGTTCGTACTTACCATTCGGACTAGTTGGCCCTCCGTGAGGTGTGTAAAGATGTCCGTGAGGATTGTGCGGGTGCGGGGGTGGGGGCAGCCACGCGAAGCCCGCGAGAGAATGCGGGAATCCCGCGGGATTCCAGCCGGGAGCACCGGGTGCACCGGCGAGGTAAGGCGGACCCTGTGACGGCCTCTGAACACCCGGATGAATCGGCTGAGGCACTACCGGACTCGACTTCTCCTCCTTCTCCTGATTGTTGTCCAGCTCCCTCTCCAGCTCGCAGTCCGAGTCCATCACGTTCAGATCCTCCGACTGGCCGACGCTACGGATCTCTTGATCCTCCAGATCCAGATGATCGCCGGTCCTGTCGCCCTCCAGCGAGCGATTCGCCTCCGAGTCGCTTCTATCGTCCATCAACTCTCGTCTACTAATCGGTGAGACCGATCGCGGCTCGCTCGCGATCCTCTCGACCCTCTCGTCCTCCTCCTGGCTACGTTCCCTCTGGATGATCATCGATTCCGGGATTCTGTTTGCCGGTGAACCGCTCGACAGTCGTCGATCGTCCCGATCCCTCTGCACCTCCTGGTCTATTCTAATCGGCGACGACGACTTGTCGTGGCTGCTCGTTCTCGAGAAATCCTTCACGGTGAGGATCTCCTGCCGGCCAGCCGACGGATGATCCTGGTCCACTCTGCTCGACGGGTGATGGTGATGATGATGATGATGATGATGATGATTTGCGAACGCAAGCCCGTGCGGACTCAGCCTGGCCAGCAGTTCACGGCTTTGAAGTCTCTGCTGTTCGAGGAGCAGCTCGCGGTACCTCGCCTCCATGTCCAGGCTCTTCTCGGCGTCCGTTCGATCGTCGTTCTCTCGTCGAGCAGCGAACGCGCCGCCGGTGACGCCGGTCTTTTTCATGTCGCTCAACAGCGAGTCAACGCTGAAGCTGATCTTGCCGCTACGCGGCTTCAGGTTCGACGACGCGGACGTCGAAGTCGCCATGTCGACGTCCTCGCAGAGGCGATCGTTTTCGGTTCCCTGGCCCGTCACCACGCCCTCGCTGCTACTCATGCCGATCCACTCTTTCTTCCTTTCGCGCTCCTGCGAAACGATCTTCGATGAACGAGGATCGTGGAGCTGGTTCGTGGTTCAGAGGTTGTTTCCCTCTCTTCGGGATTCTCGCGACGCTGCTGAGTTACGAATATTCGAAACACCTGCGGTCCCTTAAACGTCTCTGCAGGATGATATCTCGGCTCGGCGTCAGTCACTTATATCGCGTATCCCAATTTCTGACTCGGTTGCCATTAACGTAACGGACGTTCACTTAATCCTTGGTTTCTTTCACTGTCGCCGATTAGTATCGATCTGTCGACGCGGTCATCGTTCTCTGTTTTTCTCTCGACGTTTCTCAACCGTCATCATCGTCGAATCGTCGTTCATCGACTCGCAATCAGTCCGATACTCGGCAGGATCATCGGGAACGCTCACGGGCTGGCATTCGATGGACGACTCCCAAGCCCGTTATTCTCGGAATCCGCCGCATCGCCGTGGACCGACCGAGCCGGCACCAGCGGATCCTCCCGTTAAAGTCACGCAGCAAAGTTACGAGACCGGCATGACGATTCGATTTTGTCCTCGCCTCTCGGCCTAAGCGCCCAACATTATCGCTCGCAACTCTCACAGTTTAGTTTCTTCTCTCTGGTGATCGATTCGTCCGTACCGTATCTACAATCTAGTCTGTGATTCCTTAAAGTTCGAAATTTTGGCGACGGATTTCAGTCAGTAGGGTCAAGGGCTGAAACACTTCTCAACGTCATAATTCTCTCGTCTCTTGGGCTAAGCAGCCAACATTGTCGCTCGCAAATCGCGCGATTTCTTCTCTCTCTGGTCCGTGTCTCTCTCGGGGTATGGATTCGTCCGCACCGATCTATAATCTAGTTTGTGATTCCCTGAAGTTCGAAACTTCGGTGACGTTCAGTCAGTACACTTGTCAACTTTATGCTGTCAGCGTAGGATCCTGCACGAGGATCAGTCACGAACGTTCGACCGCCAGCTGGGCTTCCCGGCTTCGGTCGACGCGACGCCGAAAGCCAGGAGAGATCCGCGCTACAGTTCCCGGTCGCACTGTCACAACCCGGCGGCGGCGGTGTCTCACAAGCGGTGGTATCGGTTACGCGCGAGGCGAAGGGGGTGGGCGGCGGGGGGTGGTGGTCGCACAGACGTAATCTGCGTAATCTGTCGCGTGGTGGCCAGTGCTGGCGCGGAAACGACACTGATTACCAGCTCGGCTGCGGCTGCGGCCTCTCTGCCAGGCGTTCTCTCTCTCTTCCCGGTTGGCGGCCGGCGTCGCGGTGCTTGCCGCCGTGGCGCGCCGCCCCCGCGAAACCCGTGGAACCGGTACCGTGTCCTGTCCTCGGCCAATGCGAACCACTCCAGTCACACCACCGTCCTGACCCGGACCCCGACTCGGTAGGCGTGTTTCGACCGCGCGACTCCACCAATCCGGTACGCAGCCTCGACGTCCGCTTCGGGCACTTCTCTCGCTTCGGCAACGGGGAAATCGGGTTTCTCCCCTCGCGGGTTTCCATCGTCTGGCAGATGGCGTTGCTTGGATCGGGAACGCGGTGGCGCCTTGGTTCGTCCACGGCGTCGACGCGGCGTCTGTGTGGGGATGAAAACGAGCGTGCACGAGAAGGGTGGGAGGATGAAGGGGAAGGGATCGGCACGAAGGGGCTGAAGCGGAACGACGACGCGGGGTCCGGGATGATGAGGCGACTGCTCGGGGAACGTGACGACTCCTAATTGTCTAATTCCCGGGCGCGATGCGCGAATTGATTGGCAATCCCCGCGCTCTGCGACTGTGCCGGTTACTGTGCGTGGACACGCGTGCACGAGCGTGCGCGCGCGCTCACGTTTGTCTCACCGATTCCTTCTCTCGCTTCCCTCACCTTCGCGTCGCGAGGTTGACGCGACTGTTTCGCGA